GCATGGATGCATGGATGCATGGATGCATGCATGGATGGATGGATGGATGCATGCATGGATGGATGGATGAGGATTGCAATGTCACATACCCTGTTCACTAACGTTTTTCATACTCTCGTCTTCTTGACTTTCTCTGTGACGTGAAAAAAGTAAGCTAGTATTTTTTTAAATAATAGCGGTTCATATTTCACACTTGATAATTCGTTTCCAACTTAAATCTCTCGTTATCTCACCTTATCCTGTCTTGCTCTAGTTTGTCTACTATGTAACTTCTTCTCTGGACAAGCTTGAATAATTCAGACATCAAAGCCCGCTCTTGTTTCACGTCTTCTGGAGATTTTAATTCATCTACGAAATAAAAATAAAGTAGAATATTATTGACTTTTTTTCATTGGTCAATCTGGTTGAAACTGAACACGTGACTAAATCTTGCTACTGTTGCATTTTATTAGTGACAGGAAATTGATCACGTGATTGTTAATATTAATCACGTGATGATTGTATATGATAACGTACGTGATTGTAAATATTAATCACGTGATGGTGGAAAATGATAACGTGTCTAACTGGTTAAAATGATCACGTGACTGGGGAAATTAATCACGTGATGGTGGAAAATGATAACGTGGCAAATTGCTAAAATGATCACGTGATTGGGAAAATTAATCATGTGATATCGGGAAATTTTAACTTGGTAGCTAATTGGTTATAATGATCACGTGAATATGGAAATAGCAGTAAAAACGAAACTGTATCTCATGTCAGTAGTTTGTTGATTTATGTAGTGGCATCCGTTAATGTAGATGCACCCGGGAAATGATAAATATACACATACATTTAAATATATTGGAATACCTCTCATTGATAATAGCACCCGTAGCTCGCATTCCACAGCTAAATATCGATCCTCATACTGATGATATTTGATTCTGTTGAGAGTGAAAAGAAGACGATTCCAGGAATCTAAAGAAATAATCTTTAATTCTTTAGTTTCCTTCATCCATTTGTTTTTCCTTTTTTCCGTTTCTATTCTCATATTCAGTTTTTTCCTTCCTTTTTTCTTTCTTTGTTACGTTTCTTCATCATCCATCCATCCATCCATCCATCCATCCATCCATCC